CTTTCTTTTTTTTTTTCTTTCTTTCTTTCTTTCTTTCTCTCTCTCTCTCTCTCTCTCTCCCTCTCTCTCTTTCTTTCTTATAGGCTATTTATACAAGAAATATAATAACCACATTTATAACCACATTTATATTTATTATATAAATATAATAACCACATTTTGCAAAACCTATGATTAATAGCCTACTTTCTTTGAGATAAGACACCCAAGGTGAATATAAGGTTAAAACAAACAAACAAATAAATAAACGAATAAATAAACTAACAAAAAATAACAAAATATTTACATTTTCAAAAGATTATTATTATTTCTTTTGTATTAAAAGTTTTCTGGAATGTTTAAATATTTTCTATTTAAATATACACTAATTTGCATACATTTCCAGAACAGAAATCTGGACAGAAAGCCAGGTTCAAAATTCTTGTTTCATTTTGTTGACATATTAGGGTCAAAGTTTTTTTACAAAGGGTATTTTGGATACATCTTTTTATCATTCCACACTCCATGAATCAGAAAGCCAGATTTTCAGATTTCCATTCCATCATGTTTTTAGGAATACAATATTGTATAACATCAGGCAAATGACAAATTAACAAAACTGGAAAGTTTGATTTATGTCAGTGCTTCTGAAAATGTGTTGTAATTGATCTCTACAGAAGCAAATAAATGAAGTGCAGTAAAATAAACAATTAAAAGTGTATTTTTGATGTTTTCTTGATGTGACTAAAAGCCAAAAAGCCCAACATTTCAAAACTTAACAGCACATGTCTTAAGGGTGACATGAATCCACACAAGTGTTGAACAAAATATTATTATTATTTTATTATTATTGTTATTTATTTATTTAGTTCGTTTTTTTTTTTTACAATTATTTCACCTCTTGGATATTACCATATCACTCATAGTCCTTAGTTACTCCTTATGTGCTGCACTCTTTCTCTTGTTTTCAACTCAGATGATTATTCTTAATGTACCTATTTAAATAAAAGCTACTAAAGAGTCTACCAGGGATGTTCATCTTGTTCAACACGATATAAATTATCATATAGATTGCACTCTTGTATCATTCCGAATTTATTAAACCAGATTAGATTTTTTTCATTGCATAATGGTTGTATAATAGTGTATAAACAACTGTGCCTGTCCTTGTTGACTAGAGTCATATCATAGTCAAAAGGCTAGATGATTAAAACCACATAAACAAGATTAGACAGATATAAAGGAGGTTGCAGGAGTGCAACAGACAGCAGGTCATCTGCTTTGGAGCTTGCATACTCTCTTGCTCCAGAAGAAGTCAATTGACTTAGCGTGATTAGGCTTTTCTTTGACCCGCAAACAGTGACTCTCATTAGGATGCTCATTTGAGCTGCGATTTCAGAGGCAGTAGACTGGCTGGTAATTTGCAACATCTGCCCCTTTTAGGAACGCAGACACATGGCACTTTTGAATCAACTTTTTCTTTCTTGCTCAACAAAGCCCTTTGTTTACTCATGATAGTTACCAGTCATCCATTCCGAATGTGATTTTACATGCACTCTCTGGCACTAATATCAGTTTCCGTTCAACAGCCTCCAACAGCGGCCAAACGTCACAAATGTAACATGCTCCATTTCCAACCCCCAAGGCCTGTAAAAAGTTCAGATCAACAGACAACCACGCAAATGTTGCTCAAGTGAGAAACAAATGTAGTATTTTTCCCAGTTATCTATTTCATTTAAATCTGGACTAAAAACAGCAGGGAAAATAGAGAATAAAAATAATAATTAGAAGTTATAAAAACACATTTAAATCACTTTGTTTCTTAAAGTAATCAACTTTGCCAGAAAGCTGGTTTATATTCAGCAATTTTTGACTTTTATTTAGGACAGTCTGATTTTGACTGGACACTACTATAGTATTTTCTTAGCTGTGGGGGGGATATGGTTTTAAAATCCTGTTAAATCTTGTTAATTTAATCTGAATTCAGGATAATTGGGACATTTTTCCCAAGTCATCTCTATAGCAAAAGGTGTCCCGTCTTAATGATTTTTGCATGTAGGTTTTAAACCTTCTTTCTTTTGTTGTTCACAGGTTGTTCTTTGGTAAAAGAAGTTCAGAAGACTTACAAGGTTGTGAAATCTCTATATTTTTTATTTTGTACTTGTAATTGCATACTAGAACATTATTTCATAGCGTGACAAATGCTGATACTGTCTATTGTCTTTACTCTTACCCCAATATTTTTGATGTGATGTAAAATAAAATGATTCCATTTAACTCATCTGTTCCTCCTTCTCCATGTCACTACGAAACAGAGATGTATTCACACCAAATCCCCACGCAGCCTGTACAATCAGGAAGCATCGACAATCCCTTGGTGGGCTGAGTAGGCAGAGCACGGGAAGTATCTCACCACAGAGGACTGGGAAAGACCCGGTTCTCCGCCTGCAATCCGAGGTAGGAGGACTGTCATCTGCTGAGCATTTACCTTTGATAAAGAGGGGAAGAAAAAGGCGACGTGCTTTATAATGTTCTAAAAACGTACAAGATGCTCGCTTTGTAGACATGCTGGCTGCAAATCCGGCAGTGTCACTTTGGAATGGAAATGAGAGACATTTTAAAGAGGAGCACAACACATCATTTCCCAGTGGGTGAACATGTGGGTGTGCAAATCCAGTTGAGATAATGTAGAAGCTTTAAACTTGGTTCTGACAGTTTATGTGCCCCAGGATATTGGGTTTAAAAAGGGAAACAGAATTTTATCCCATCCTACTTCCTACATCCATTGTTTTATCCTGAAATGTAACCAAGTTACAGTATGTATCTATGTTCTTTAAAAGTTTGGAGTAATTAAATATGAAAATAATTTGGATGTGCATAAACTAAGTGTTAGGCAATCATTGAGTAATTAAAGAAATGTATGATATGCCCAAATAATAATAATACTAATAATTCCTCTACTGCTACTACTAATGGTTTCACTTTATATTTGGTGTCTTTAACTTGAACTGAAAATTAATCGGTTGGTACAATGTACTTATTGTGCTCATGTTGAATTGCAAAACACTTTTGCATCTGTTAAGGTGGGATGCAGTTAAGGTTAGAGACAAGTTTTGTTGAATGGTTACGTTTAGGGGTGGGTGGTAGGGTCGACAATGTAATTATCGATGTAAATATGGAAATTAATTAAAAGCTGTAATTATTACCTTAAAGAGCCATTTATACTTGATTCAATCTATAAAAATTTGTTTTGTTGGTATGAATTCATGTATATAGGTTGATTCAGTGATGTTAAATAATATTTTTGACTTGAATAAAACCGGTTCATTTAGATGTCATGATTTTCAGGTTACCATCTTTTTCAGTGTAACTACATGCAAGCATTTCTTAAATATGACTACAATGTAAAAACCAGATTTAACATATACAAATTAGTTGGTATAAATGAATGTATATAGGTTGGTTCATTGAACTTGAATAAAACCAGCTAATTTAGTTGTTAACATTTTTAGGTCACCGCTTTTTTGCAGTGCACTTAATATAAAGAAAGTCCTAAACTCTTTAAAAATACAATTCTCTACAAGTCACAGTCCAGCTCCTTCATAGCAGTGACAGTCAGTCATTTATTCTGTGCAATGGCTTGAAACCTACAAAGCTGCATCTTTCCACTTGCCCATCGGCAAACCTGTCATCACGTGCCCATCCGCTTGCGTGCAACACACCCGGAGCTCCCACAGAATGCTCTGCATCCCAGGACAAGCTCCACTGTTGAGCATTAGTCCCCCGTGCATGAGTCTCTGGCTCCATCTGATGACCTTCTAACTGTCTTCAGCAGGCACTGGGTTTCGATAATGAGGGGATTGATAAGAGGGCTCTCTTCCTGTGGGCGATGGGGGGAGAAAGGGGAGCCAGTGGGGTGGAGGGAGCAATGCTTGCCCCATGTGTCTCTGTTGAATTGTGGGAAAAAGGAGTGAAGTGATTCCCCTACAGGCTGTGTCAGATTTCCCCTGAGAGGATCATGCTGCTCAAATAATGTAAGCCCCTGGCAAACACAGAGAACCTTTTCACTCCTTTGTTTTTGTTTATGCTTATGAATGTGTGCAAGGAGGTGTCCATGGCCATTATCATCTGAAAGTATGGCATCAAGCATTTAGCTAACACAAATACATACTTTGTTTCCTTCCACCGTGAATCGATGTTCCTGCTAGAGTGTGGAAAGTTTACACAAGAGAAGAGATCAATGGTAAAAAATGTCTTCCATATTGAGGGTGGATGGTGAAGAAGGAAAACACGTGTGGCTTCCTCCCCATGTCAAGTGACACCATTAGCTTGACATTTTCCTCAGTGCCCACAAACAGGAAATATGTGTGGCATTTATTGAACAGACACACAGTCTATGACAGCTGATGGCCGTCCCAAAGGACCAAAACCGGTAGAAGGTTCAAC